CTAAGAACCCTTTGTAATGTAATGAAGTTAAAGTGTAAGGAAAACATAGCCATATTATTACTTCCGTGGTCAAAAAGAACCATTTTGAAAGTCTTGTCTCCTATTATTATATATTATATTATTATATTATTATATTATTATTTTATTATCATTATTAATATCTGCTTGACTTTCCAAGCTTATCTTGCAATCTCGTACAATGGGACAGATCTTCCTGTTTTTGCATAATCATGATCTGGGCAGATTTTCTGACTGATTTTTATCACAACAAACGATTTTCAGATAAAAACAAATTCAGAAAATCATTTGCCTTACTTCCATGATTTTTAACGCCAATCCTTTGTGTGCCAGCTAGCGATCGCTAGAACTAAAAATAGTATTTGATTACCAAATAAATTTACTTTTATTTACTTTTGTCTTTGTATAATTGTTTGTAAATTCAATTAATTGTATTGAAAACTGATTACCAAAAGTGAATACACGACCAAACACGAAATAGAAAACAATTATGTAAATCAATATTTCACCCACAATTTATTATTCGCCTAATACTGAAAGGAAAGTATCACCCTCCTGTTGAACACCGTTCAATAAAACGTGTCCGGTTACCATCAGGACAAAAATACGAAGAAATAGCACGATTTAGCTTTCAAATCCTCTCCTCAATTTATTTACTTTATTATACAAAGTAGCTTATCCGCAACGTCTCCAAAAACTCAGTTTTAAAGATTTTAGCATTTAATATGAGTTTTAAATGTAGATTATATAACATCTTAAAAAATTGCCATTCTCCACTAGCGGATCATAACCCTCATTACAGCTTACTTTCTCCCAATCGTGACGGGGGAATTGTGTCTAACCGCTGACGGCGTGATGGACATACGGAGTTACCTAATTATGTTTAGATATTGTTTCATATTTGCATTTTCCTTCTCTTTCTCTGGTTCTTTGTTCACAGCCCACCACTCGCATTTCCGGTTATAGCTCAACACATGAAAACGTTAAATGCTTATTTAGCGGTTAAAAGTAATTCATTTTTGAAATCCATACAATCTATATGTAAAGAACTGCCTTTAAAAGTATGCAGTACATTATATCTTACAATATTGTCGCTCCATTTGCCGAAGGAGAACATCCGACACGTGGGCATCGCTAAAAAACGTATTCCAAATGCATCCACGTTGATTTGAGCTTACAGCCGCGTCTCGTATTTAAACCGCATTTCAGTGAGGACAGCTGCGGGGCCTCGTCTGAAAGATCCCTCCGTCCTCTTGGGGTCCAGTTTTCGGTCAGGAATGCATTTGAAGAGGTCGTGCGTGTCAAAACAAGCGCGGAATGTCTGTCTTGCTTTATAAAAAGGACAATCGAATCCGAGGTTTGACAATCCATATTTCTTTTATCGTTTAAACAAGTTTCTCAATTGTGAATAATGTTTTTCTGTTTTGACACTCGCGTGACGGGAAAGAAGGAATGTGTTTTATTCTCATTTGCGCGTGTGTAGAGCTGCTGTGTAAGAAAAGGAAAACAGTTTCTTACATGGAATGTTTTTCTTACATAATGGAGGCTTCACTGACACGAAGAGTGTTTACCGCGGTACCAAGCATTGTCTCACAGAACGTAGAGGAAATTTGCTCCTCGACTTGTCTGCCAAAAAGAGTTTGGAGGTCGTAATTCGGTCGTATGGAATTCTTCGGAGACGTGAAATATAATCATAAGATAAAACATAGGTGTACTTCAGTTTGTCATCCAAAAAAAACACGTGTTAGGTTGACTCTCTTTGCAAGAATTATGTTTAACCTAAACGTCAGGTAATCGTTTCATGTTGAATGCTGGTACAGTCTATTAGGTTTAAAATGATCGTATTAAATATTGACTTTCAGCTTTTAAATATATGCTAAGGAACCGAACCGATGAGTACTTTTATAATATTTTTAGTATAATACAGACCTTTTTAATGCGCTTTAATTTCTTGAACTATGCTCGAAATCATTAAATAAACGTCGATTATATGACATTTTGTCTTTAGAATTGTTACTGAGACCCTCACATTACTGTACTTTACTACCAAATTCATGTGTTTGTGAGTCAATGGATTTATTTGCAAGTTGAGTTGTAGTGCATGTGATGGCTTTTTGCCCTTTACGAGTACTCAGTCCGCGAGGAGCTGGGAGGTTTGTCCTTTTTCTGGACCATTTAACTAATCATAATTATGTGTTCTTCCACTGCATGTTTGAAATCTAATTTCCTCCAACTTCCTAGGTCAAGAGAATGAACTAATGAACATGTGTAAAAAAGGGACTCATCGATATATCTCAATTAATCCAGTTATTTTAACGTGCTGGCGCCCAATCGGAGCTTAGTCGGGGAGTATACAATTATACAACCAAATTAATTGTGATTCACACGACATTTTTTAAATACTTGAACAATTATAGTTAGAAATAATCTTTTCATATCCAAACAGTTTACCACAATGTAAACTAAGTACTAAAATACAACTCTTTTTATGACCAAATATCCCTGCCGACAGAACTGGCATGTGTTTAATCAAAACGCGTCAACACAAAAGCGTAACTCTAGGCATAACTGGCCCACACGAAAAACACATTAAGCTGTTACGTCTCAATTCTTTTCAAAAATAGGAGGAGAAACGACGTCGCATGTAAGGAGATATGATAATATGTCTAAAGGGTATCTATATTCTTGTAAAAGTGAAGTACAAAAGCGCGTCAATAGAGATTAGTAGTACAAATGTATAACACGCGTGTATTATTAGACTAGTCATTCTATATCTTCATTATATTCTTAATTTTATATAGTCATTTATTATAGTCTTCATTTTACTTATTTGTAGTAATTTCAATTTTTTAATACAAAATCAATGTTCTAGAGAACGGTCACTGGGATCTGCCACATGGAAGTCAAAATCTTGCAATTCGCAGCTTTGAGAGATGAGCAGTATCGGGTTAAACTATGTCTACGTTCCTGTGCCTGAGTTCCATAAACAGATGTCTAGAATGAAATATATTACCCATTTAGATTGACATTTAACATTTAAGCAACAGTGTCTCTTCTTACTTCCACTTTATAGTCCTGATTATATATGAAGTTTAATCGTTTGATTGGAGCACACAGTTTTGATCATAAACAGTTCGTTGCCCATTGTGTAAATGTTGAGCTGGTGAGTCAATAACCCTCGAGATGAGCGTCATCGTTGTCCACTTCCTGCACCATCATCAAGTTCAAAGTACGACGCAAAAAAATGTGTACATGAATCATGACGCATTTTTTGACTGGAAACTAGGAAGACAGTTACTCGAAACTAAGCAGACTTAGACATCTGGTTTCCTATCCCCTTGCTCTCATTAAAAAAAGTTTTTTACGTTTCTGCGTATGGTACATTTTTAAGACATAAAACAGTGAATATGCATTTTGAATGTGTCCATGTAATGGGAAAGCGCGACGGTGCTTCTAGACGTCATACTAATACATTTCTACACCCCTCATGCAGGAATGACTTCTCTACCTGTACATGTATCATTACACAGCTAAATATCCAGTTGTCTTGTCAGAATAGAGTTCCTTTATACTACTACTTTATATACCTGATCATAAACAGTTAGTTCGTTGTTATATAAGTGGCGCAGGTATGTCGTCATCCCGTGAAATGTACTGCACCGAACTCAACTATTTTTGCGTATTTCTTCACTTCGATGTTGAGAATACACGTTGAAATAGTTGAATGTCTCAATTCAGATCTCCACTCGCAATTATGTAGTTTCTAAATGCTAACCTAATAGTTCAGTACCTACCGAGGCAGTGAAAAAAAGAGTTATCTGGAAAAAGGTAATAAAAACGTTTTATTCGATTATATTGTATGTACCTAGGCACTAGTTAAAACCCCAAATTTTCGACCTCTTAGACCTTGTAATAACTCCGGGAGGCCCGAAAACCCGGTATTTTTTCTGACTTTTTAATGGTTTTCTCTATAACTCTTTAACCTTAAGTTCGTAGAAAAAATGATTAATTTCAATCGTAAAGAAGATGAAGTTTCCTACAGTTTTTGTATGAAACATATTTTTTTTCAAATTAGGAGGCCGGCTGCTACCAGCAGATTTTCTTCGCTATACCAGACGAATTCCAGAGTAGAACGCTTCCAAAAGGGTCGTGGGCCATTTGAGATGTTTTCTTCATCCTTCTACCCTTACACAAATACACTTGCATACACTACACTATCAGACTTGTCGGGAGACCACTCGGGAGTTTATAACTTGTCCTGGCTGGGGCGGTGCCCCACTGGTGGAGAAGTGTATAAAACGTTCTTTTTATCATTGTTTTATTTCTTTTTTTCGCGAATAGGCCAACTCGGACCACGCGTGCAAGTACCATTATCTAGGGGGAGGGGGATCAGCATTTTAGTTGAATCCCGATTTTTATCCCACAAGGTTGTTAGCCCTGGGGGTATGAACGATGAAATGATCATGATAGTGATGGATGAAAGGACGGCATAGACATACAGACACACACAAATACACCCATGCCAGAGGCGGAACTCGATCCCGTGGTCTTACTGGTCCGAGACCACTAGGGCTCGACTGCCCTAAAAATCTTGCCCATCTTGGCCGGCTCATTGTTTTATTTATTAAGTGTAATTTTATTTATCTCTTTTGATATGGAAACTGGCCTTAAGGCCTAACTCCATGAAGTAGAAGAAGAAGAAGACGACGACGACGAAGAAGAAGACGACGAAGACGACGACGAAGAAGACGACGACGAAGAAGACGACGAAGAAGACGACGACGAAGAAGACGACGACGAAGAAGACGACGACGAAGAAGACGAAGACGAAGAAGACGAAGACGAAGAAGACGAAGAAGAAGAAAAAGAAGAATTTTATTTGTGTGTTTATTTTTACCACATTATAGTCATAAGGTGTAATCTATGTTTTTTTGTATTTAGAGACAGTGTCCAGCGTGAACGTGTGTCGAACGTTTGTCCAGGGGTCGAGCTGGTGGGGCGGCGGCGGCGCGAGATGAGCGGCATCGTGCTCAACTACTTCTACGCCCTGGGCGAGGCGGCCGTGGCGCTGGTGGCGTGGCTGTCCCGCGACTGGGTGTGGCTGCAGCTGCTCGTCTCGGCGCCTGCCGGCATCTTCGTCATCTACTACTGGTACTCTCCCCCCCCCCCCGTCTGCTCCGCCCTCCCTCGCCTCATCCAACGATTTACTGGTCTGCTTTCAGACAGATCGATGCCAGGGTTCAGTATAGTGTTATCGGAGCTCGTAAATCGTTGGTTGTTGCTTGGAGGAAAGAAATTGTGTACACATGTATGAACTCATTGATTTGAGAATTTAGTTGTCTGACAAGGTTCGTGGTCAAATTAATTGTTTTCATAGAGTATTGAATATAATCGCAGTCATAAAAACCCTATTCTAAAATAAAATAGTGTTTCTGTAAATTAAAAATTAAGCTTTCTATTAGCATAAGAGTTCAGGGAGTCTGTCTGTCGACGTAAGCATCTGACTGACGAGTAGTATATTGTGGGATGCTAGAGTAGTCGAATCTTGCGAAAATTTCAAAATAATAATAATAATAATAATAATAATAATAATAATAATAATAATAATAATAAAGCCAATATTAATTTGAAATGTTTCTTGAGCCTTATTGAAAGGGATATAGTTAAATATTATTGTACACATATGAAATTCACTCACTAGATTTAAAAATAAATGAGAAAAAATATTCATCATTGTATTTTATACTTCTTTGAGAAATTAATGATGGAAGCTATAATTTACTTTATTGTAAAGAAGCGGAAACTCAGTTAGATCCTTAGATTTCATTTTACGAGAACTCATACTACGTCAAAGATGGGGCTCTGCAGTGGTACCTTGGAATTAGCCGAAGTGGGCGAATTTATCTTTTTATTAGTTAGTATGAACTTACTCTATGCGATTAAAACGATTAAATCGCGAAATGTACTTGTTGTGCTTTAGGTGTAAACCAAGTCGAATGTATTATGCCGATTTTTAATTTCGGTATTGCTTAAATCTTTCTAAAATCTCGTTTGTCTATTAGGTCAGGCAGTGGGGGACGGCTGTTAGGTGAATTCTGCTCATACAAAAAACAAAGTGGAACTGGTCAATATTGTGTTTAGCTTGAAGTGTTGACGCTACAGCATTGCAGTTGATCTTACGCAGACGAGAATGAGGTCAGATACGACTCCTCGATATTGAGACCGGATCAGAATACGCGTATGAAGTGGGCATCTTCCATTCATTACGTGTTCGTTTTTGTTTCAATAAATATACGAAGTGATGAATTTCTAGTCAATGGTTTTATTAGTATCGACAATGGTTACGCGCCTGAATTATTGCACTTAAAAGTTACTCATAAAAATATTTACTACTTTCAAGATATATATTTTGGAGAAAGGTCTGCATTAAAATTACAAATATTTGAATTAACTAAACTATCTTACAGAATTGTTTTAAAGGACACTCTTGTAACTTACAGACATTTTATTCTTCTAAGCCCCCAAGTTTACGTCAAGTGATTGAACATTTGTTGAGATACAAACTTTTATTTTTTGCTAATAATTTGAAACTGTTAAAAAGTTTACGTCAAGTGATAGAACATTTGTTGAGATACAAACTTTTATTTTTTTGCTAGTAATTTGAAACTGTTAAAGAGATGCTTTATAATTTAATAATCACACTAGGAAAGTTCAATTCAAGTGCCTTGAACAGCGCCCAGCTAAGCCATGAGTTTTAGGGGCAGCGGTACTGCGATCTCGGATATCTGAGTAGCAAAAGGAGAGGGGGAGGTGGAGGCTCTGCAAAGTTCACTTGAAGAAAGAAAAAAAAGTCGACAATGTTTGCATAAGGAAAGGAAATCAGTACGTTTTTAAAAACATTTAATACTATTGATAAAATCGAACGAAATTCCATCGTATTGAGCTTGAAAGCAACACATTAACCCAATTAAGCCGATGTTAATATCGGTTTAAATGGTTTAGGCTCTTGTGTCGATTACACATGGACGGACGAACAACCGCTTTGAAAAAGAAAACAACCCATTTTTCTACAATCATATAAAACTGTGGATTTCTATATACTCTGATGCGTGCGTGAAGTTACACTTTTCTTAAAGCATCAGAAAAACATTACGTTACCGTGCAGAATAGCTAGTTATGATACGAGAGGGGCATTTTATTATCCGGGTAGAAAAGGTTTAGGAAAATTGGACCTGTATTTTTACGAGCGTATATTTATCAATTCAAGGAAAAAAAATTTGAACTAATTTTTGGGAAAAAATAGAAAATGTTGGGATTTCATGTAAAGTACTCCAAAATGAAAGTACTTTAAATACGTCAGCCGCGATGAGCCGTGACGTCATAGCTAGATTGATAGGGAAATATATTTGGTTAAAATTCTGGGAACGGTTTAGGGACTAATGTTCACAGGGGCTAATCTTGCAGAGACCCCGAACCGTTCTTCTTCCTGCCCTCTCGAACTGATCGACTTCAAAGTACACTCTTGATTTTTATTAGACTCCTAAGATATAAGGAGTGCCAAAAACCTTTTTGTTTTTATTATACAAGATGAAAAATCGGGGGCTCGCGTTAGGAACCTTTGGAGACGCGGTGTAGGCACCAGCACGTTTATATTTCAAATACCATTCCCCAATGTTTTAATTTTTGTATAGGACGTTTCAAAGAAAAGAAAAGAAGAATTTTCACTTCAACAACGATAATAAAATAATAATCGTAATCACGATAATAATAATAACAATAATATAATAATAACAATATAATAACAATATATTAATAATATTTTAAGTCGTTTTTTAACAACTTGGTCATATAGCGACCCCCGTGATTATTTGAACAATAGGTGGAAACTGTAGGAAGAACACGTAAGGACTACACGAAAACATACAAACATACGTACTTGAAGCGGGATTCGAATCTGCGACCCTTCCAACCGAGGCAGCTATGGCTCTTGAAACTTCGCGATCTCGGCCATGCTCCTTAAAAAAATAATAAACAAAACAAAACAAAAAAAACTGACGTATTTATTGCTTTCGGGGATTGTTGTCAGACTCAAAGAGTTGACACATGTTTCTCTACGCGTGTCAATGGACTCAATCCGAATCCAAAGCCCGAAGCCAGAATTGCGCCTCCACCTACCAGTTGTGTTCAATCGCGAAAAACCACCGTGAAACTTTCATTTGTAAATTTTATCGGTGATTTTTCACGATTAAAAAAAAACTGGAGGGTGATGGCGCAATTTTGTCTTCAGATTCGGATCTAGCGCGTCTACATACATGGAGAAACATGTGTCAAGTCTTTGAGTCTGAAAACTTTTTTTGTTTCCTGTGCCTGTGTCGTTGATTACACCAAAGACGAAATTTGAACTGCGCGTGACGTTTGAGCTTCAAACTTCTGCTTTGCGTAGTGCTCTCCAACGTTGTTTTTTTTCAATCCATGAGAGACGCAGAGAAGCAGTATATGAGGGGTGCCGCGTTGACTCGGAGGGCGTGTGTGCGTCGTGCGCAGGTTCATCCCGGAGTCGGTGCGCTGGCTGCTGGCGCGGCGCGAGGACGGGCGCGCGACCCGCATCATCCGACGCGCAGCCGAGGTGAACGGCGTGGTGCTGTCGGAGCGCCTGCTCACCCCGCCCTCGCCCGACCCCGCCAAGGAGGTGAGTGCTTTGGCGCGGCGTGTACGCTATCAAGTTGGTTGGTTGGTAGTGATTCCGGGCGCGTCAACTACAGATGTCATTGGTCCCGTATGTACAGTGCATGTTTTTTCCTCGGGAGGGGTGCGGTGATCTTCTCCAGCTGTATGGCGAGATTCGGCGCCGACCTATCGGTCGGCTAGTGGGGTTCCCCCAACCAGGTATCTCCCTCCAGCGCGGCATCGCCCCAGCCGGGACAAGCTCGAAGCTCCCGACCGGTCTCCCGGCATATGTGGTAGTGTAGTGTATGTTAGTGTGAAAGAGGGTGGGGACAGGAAAAGGAAGAGAAAGGAAAGATCGTGCGTGGTCCGTAGCCCGTTTGTTAGGGTGCTGCTCCGGCATTCGGATGGTCTTTATCGGAGAAACGAACGAAAATACCGGTCAGAGCAGCCGGCCTCTATAATTCTTCTTTAGACAGCGACTGAATTCGGCCTAGCTGACAAGCTAGTATCGAAAATCATGACAGGACCTCCCGGTCAGAGGCACTGCAGTGACATCAGTTGAAGCATTGAGCCACCTCTCCCGGTGTGTACGCTTTTAACAGTCATATCACATTAAATTAAAAACTAAAATTGAGAAAGCGCGTTCTAACAGATACGTGGTAGAGTCTTCATTTGTTAGCAGTTTCACATTCTTTACGTAGTCTTCTGACGTCCAAACTTGTCTGGCGTTCTGCGGCCATCTAATGCCCTGTCCTAAGCGAGCCGCATCCCACAGGTCAGGAACCGCTGCAGCCATTACCCCACCTACCCCACCCGCTTTCCATTGTACAATGAAGATATTTGTTGAGTGTTTGTAAAAGAGGAGTTAGTGGCCTAGCCCTTGGCACTGGCAACGTTCACAAAATCACCATTAATGAGCGTAATCATGCCTCATTTCAGCCATCAAGGATACCCTTCTTCGCACAATAACTTTGTTATTTGGAAAATCGCAATTATTTGATGCATGCAGTGAAAATTATCCCCTAGCATGGAACATCTATTTGCATGGTACGAAAATAACATTTACTTCACATTAAGAATTTATACTTTGTAGAAACAAATGCATTTTTTGTCATGGCAATGAAATTCAATTGAATGACTAAGATTAATGAACATTGATTCTCAAAATCAATGACTTAATTTGCATGAGAAATAATGTTTAATGATATCTTACTTTCAGTAGACACTGATATTTCTAAGTGCTTTAAAGATATCAAATATTTTATTGATAACTGCTCTTAAAGTCAGTATTTTATCGGAGATGCACATGCGTAAGAGGTTGAAGGTCTTGCATTCAATCTTGAATCTTCGCGATAAAAAGTAGTTATTGCATTTGCTCCTTCCTTGATGAAATAATTATATGCGTCGTCATTGCCAACAATATTAGCGACGCATATAATTATTTCATTAGAAATGCCAACGATAACTCTCCACAACGCCTATATTCCTTCCTTGATACTAGCAGGAGCGTAGCTAACTGGTGCAACTGGTCCGCGACACAGGAGCCCCCGAAGTAATGGGCCCCAAATGAGGACTGCCGACACCCAATAAAGATGGCAATGGCAATAGGGGGCTCATATAAACCCTCTGCAACTCGATTCCCAAGACGTAGCACTGCCTCTGAACACCAGTGAGTGAACAATGAACGTGTTCTCCCAAAAATTTATATATCCCAAACCACTTGGCCGAACTCGATGGGCAATAAACTTTAAACGGATTTTTTTTTATTTTTGGAAGTACTTGAAATTATTTTTTTAATAACATGCTTATATGTTTTCAATATTTTCTAAAAAATTACATCAATTTGTTTCCTTAAATTTGATCAGTCGAATTCTTATGGATTTTTTCGTGGGCACACATCTCCAAGCGTCGACTCGAGACGTCCTGCTGCACACGACCGAGTGGTTTGCAGCGTGCCAGTAGTCCTCTTTCCGGTCAGTGCGAGGTGAAGTGCGTACGTGCACCACTGTGTTATTCCTGTTGTTGCCTTAATCGTAAATATTATTGTAAATAGTACGCCGAAGGTAAATAAATGGAAAATTAGTGCATGAATAACAAAGTAAATGAGATGAACAGTTATTCATTCATACACGTCGCCGTTCGTCAACGTTTTTGTGTCCCTCTAATTACATTGTATAAAATAAACTATTTTTGTGACAGTCTTACAATGTGCATTGGAGGAAAATCGTTATCAGTTTGAAGTTCTATTTGATAACAGAATTTTTATGAATCACCAATAAGCTTTATTTAGCTTGTCCACAGATTTGACTGTGTGGTCAATTTTCAATGTAACAGTGCGAGGAAAAGATTTTTCAGAAGATGTGTCAAACATTAACCTATGGAAGTTTTAGTATAATTATTAGAACGTTTCGTAACGTCACAAATAGGGAAAATTCTGTGTCGTGTTATAAAACCATTAATTTATTTTTTCACATATTAGTATATGCATGTCACAGAGGAAGGTATAAAATTCTGCAAAAAAATAGATGTTTAGAATTCGTTCGCCCGACCGTCAGTGTCTGCTTTTGAACAACTGTAGGATACAACTTGTGAATATAATGGATATCTTAGAATGATGTAAATAAGGCACTGTACACAAACTTGTTGCTCCACGTTACGCGAACTGTAAATTAAATCAATAAAGCTCATTTCTGGCATCAGTTCTGGCAAGTATACATGCAACGTGTTCCGTCAATGGTTAAAACATTACAACAGTTCTCCAAATTCTGGCCCATTTTGATGCAAGTACTTGCGCAATGCTCTCAGGGCGAGAAAGGAGGCGAGGCGGCCGGTGGACCGGAGCAGGTGCAGGGCTTGCTGGCCACCGTCCTGCAGGTTGCGCGCTCCAGGAAGCTACTGGTGCGCGCGCTCCTTCTCTTCTTTATCTGGTGAGTACTGCGCAAACGACAAATATGGTCCCTCCAAGAGCAAAAGGGGGGACGAAACTTACCAGTGAGATAGGTAAAATTGAGGTAACAACAAAGAGATACAATGAGAGATAGGTAAAATTGTGGTGAGGCTTCATGTAAAGACCGGTCTTACAAGCAGAGGCGATGTTTTCTACCAGAGGCGATGGTTGTAATTAGAGGTGAACCATTCAAGTAGGAAGAACCTTACAATTAGAGGCGAACCTTCCAAGTAGAGGTGATGCTTGCAAGTAGAGGCGATGCTTGCAAGTAGCGGCGATGCCTGCAAGTAGCGGCGATGCCTGCAAGTAGCGGCGGTGCTTGCAAGTAGCGACGATGCTTGCAAGTAGCGGCGATGCTTGCAAGTAGCGGCGATGCCTGCAAGTAGCGGCGATGCTTGCAAGTTGCGGCGATGCTTGCAAGTAGCGGCGATGCTTGCAAGTAGCTTGCAAGAAGTGGCGAGTGGGTGCATGGCTTTCTAGTAGATGTGATGCTTACGAATAGAGAGCAAACATTCAAGTACATATTAGACCTTACATTTAGTGATGAGACTTTAAAATAGAAATGGGGCTAATAAATAACTTCGAGACCTGCTCGTACTGCTGAAATATGCAGATATAGAGGAGAGTCTTACATGTAGGTGTGAAGTAAAAATTAAATACAATAAAACGGGCGCTCCAACGTCGAGGAATCGCTGAATGTCAAAATGTCAACTCTAATGAGTCTTACAGTGTTAATTCTGAAACAATAAATTTGGTACATGTAGGGGTAGCCCTGCTCCTTGTCTCAAGGTCACTGGTACTACATATTACTGTAAGTTAGTGGCTGAAACGGGGATAGATATCCAGCAGTTAACTGCCACTACTCCAAAACCTTTGCAGGAACAACGTAATAAGCATCAATGATATGTTCCAGGGCCGCCAACGCGTTCGTGTACTACGGGCTGTCAGTGAACTCGACCAGCCTGGGCGGCGACAAGTACCTTAACTTCGCGCTGGTGTGCCTCGTGGAGATCCCGGGCTACACCGTCGCCTGGCTCCTCATGAACCGCCTGGGTCGTCGCATGTCGCTGGGCGGGTCGCTCGGCCTCTGTGCCTTAACGTGCATCGGCGCCGCCTTCGTGCCCGTGGGTACGTATGGTCTCCACTTTTTTACTGTGATGCGGATGAACATAAGAGCCCACCGAATAAAGCAATTTTTAAAGTTTAGAGAACATTTTAGGAAGGTTTATTCAAAACAAAATAATGATAAGTAGTGATATAATAGTTATACAGAATAGTGTAATACCTCAACGTTTTTTTAATCACTTTATATTCCATCATTAATTACATGGTCAATAATCATTAATTACTGTGGTAAATAAACAATTGTGGGCATTTTTATAAAATTTATCACAAAGAAGTCGTGAGTAATTTAGTGTTAATTATAAGAGATCAAGAATCATCTCAGGTCACTTGAAGATCAGTACTTCGAAGATGTCGACCTGAATAGTTGCCACGTAAATTATGTATCTAAATATTATTCGTTCATTCATAAAAAATTTAATCGCTAATTTTCGCAGTCGCTTTAGAAATTACGCCCTAGGCAAAAATACCTATTTACCCGGTGCTGTTTAAATGGGCTGCCCACTTGGCATGCCCTCCAGCGCTTAACTATGGGTCACTAGTGTGGCTCGCCGCGTGTGGCCCGCTGCTTCCTGAATCAGCACAATGACAGAGATCAGCACAATGGCAAAGACGCAAGGCGAAGCCAGATGCGAGGCGCTCGGCCGCGATGGGCTCTATTCTAGTGAAGGGCGTGATGCATTCGGGTTGTGGTGGACACTCTGGACGCAAACGTTGCATGTGAGCAGCGCTGATTGAGCTCACATTTGCGCTTACTTCAAAATGTAATCTGGTAACTAGGATAGTTACGACATTATATTTTCGCTTTTTACTCAATTTCGTCACCTATGATATGGCTTTGATATGTTTTTCTAAAGGTTGGGGGAGAGCATTATAGTCAGTCCACGCAAGCGTTTAGAACCTTGGTACAAACACAAAGTACATCATGAACAACGTTTTAGGTCACCTGTTTTGTCGATTATTTCTGTAGATTTGTGCAATTTGCGCATGGAGACAAGAGCAGTTGGTTCAGCTGCGTAGCTTTGCTGTGCGGTACCAGATTTTCAAAAGTGCACTGAATTGTACTCGCAGATAAAAGCTCTTGACGCTAATTGAATCTTCTCCGCTAATACTTTCAACGACTAGCTTAGGTTCACATTCATCAAAGCCTCTTAAAGAGTCTGTGCCATTTTGCAAGAAATCAGAGGCGTTTTCATTGACTTTTACATCATGTCACATCAAGGCTTGCTTGCTTGATCAGTATCGCACCCTATGAGCGGAATCATGACGAACTATTTCAGACCATTTAATAGTATTTTATAACGGGCGCATTTCTTTGATTTGCGCGACTTTTTGAGTATTTTTTACTTGGGGTATTTATTTCGTAGGCGATTAACTCAAAAACGCACGACGTTAGAACGGATTTATCCCAAGGAGAGGCTATAATCGTGCACTAGCAGTTAGGCGCCAAAACTGAAAAATGCGAACGCGTAGTGTGGTGCCGGGGACTTCTTTTGGGGGTTCTCCCTGAACAGTGTCCAACGCGAGCTTCCATGTCGGCAGGTATGGAGTGGGCGGAGATCGTGCTGTTCCTGGTGGGCAAGCTGGGCATCACCTCGTCGTTCGGCGTGGTGTTCGTGTACACGGCGGAGCTGTACCCGACGCCCATGCGCAGCGCTGGCGTCGGCATGAGCTCAACGGTGGCGCGCGTCGGCGCCATGGTGGCGCCCTTCGCGCCGCTGCTGGTGAGTGCGCTCAACTAGACGGTGATGCGTGATTGAAAGACACGAGTGAGCTATTGGACACTCGTATACCAGTTTGCGTCTAATATTAGCGGAAATTGTAAATGTAGAACATTACCAAATATTATCTTCTTACAAGACATTGAAACTACATGAAGGTGCTACATGCGCTACTACATGAATTTATTGGATTTTTTTTATTTCAACCACATGTATTTCGTGTCATTTTTGGTTGGTCACCGTTGAAAATTGTCACTTTATGCCACTTTAAGAATGTTTCTCAACACTTCTCGTTTGCCACGCAGCATGGTGGCCGTCTAGTCTGACTTTTCAAACGAAGCGCGTGGGTTGTAGTCACGTGGTTCGTGACGTATCTGGTGGTACGCAGAACTAACAAACATCGGTGCATCCGACGAGCTAACCCATCTCTTTTCATGACTGGGTGATTGGATTACATTTTGCCGGAGATACCATTTTTTTCGAATCTCAACTCTTTATCTCTCGCTTCGTTTAAAACGCTTAGGAAATAAGACCATTTAATGGAGGAGAAAGGATTGGAAGAGGGTCAATGGGAGGACTGAGAATTATGGAAATCGAAAACGGCAAACTCTAAGAGGTAGAAACCGTCGAAGAAGAAGAAGAAGAAGGAAATAAGACCAGTAATTTGAAGGTTTTGTACCAAGCATATTATAACAGAAAGCGTGAAACGTGTCGATAAGAGTGAGTGCAATTTGCAACACACGTTACACAACAATAGACGTTACTGCCGCGCAGAACTCATAACGGCGCGTCCTAGGACGTTGAAAGCCTATTTTCGTGCTCTAAAAAGGGCACATGTTGGATTGCTGTGGTCATATATTGCAAAATTTTGTATCTTTTTTATATTCTATTAAGTTTTTGGAGGCATATCTCCTCTGGGTATCTCTGCTCCATCGAGTGGGTGGTCAAAATTTCGAAATCCAAGTAGGGGTTGAATTTAGCATAGAGTTGCCGCAGTCTCTGCAGCGACTCTGACCAGGAAGTTTCAACGATGGATGATTTGCGATACGATGTAGATAGCTAGGTCGAATTCACCTCATTTCTGGAGGAGAATTGTAGTGGCCGGTTGCTCATATCAGTAGTTTCCTTGGTGTCTCTCATCAATTTCAGAAGAATATCGGAGCAGTACCCTAACAACGGACCAAGGACAGCCTACGATATTTCTTTCCTCTTCCTCTCCCAACCTTTTCCTCTTGCTACACCTACATGCCCTACACTGCCACACATAACGGGGAAAGAGACGGAAACTTGGAATCTGTCTTGGCTGGGGCGCTAGGAAGGTACTGGAATGTCAGATCTAGCGGGGATTAATTGTCATATTTGGTATTCTGTGCAATTCTGTGCTTTTCTCTTATAATATATAGAAGTTAACGTAAGTATTTCTGTTAATAAACACACAGCAATATTAGAATGTTTATTCACGCACAATACGAAGACTATATGTTGTAAAGTAGTTTTGAGTCTCGTTATTTGAATTTACCAAAGCTATTGTTGTTTTTAAAACAATGTTTTAGTAAATGTAAGGTGGTGCTCTCAAGAGCCCCATTACTTTTTTTTTAATCTGAAAGTCAAGTAGGCTAAATAGGAGTCACAGATCTAACCGCGTACGAGGAAGGCCTGTTAGCTAGGATTTCTGGGAACTATATTTTGAAATGAAGTAATCAAATTAACTACGTTTACTACGTACATTTACACCAACAAATACTTACATTCAACATTTTATTCACATGTTTCAAACCTTAGTTGCTGAACTTGTGTTACACCTAGTGGAAGTCTAACGGTGCTGTAATGCGATTGTGCTCGTTTCATTTTCTTAGCGGGCCCGCTTCCTTTGAAAGTTCCCTTTGGTTACTATGATTTCGCAGCGCGCGAGCATTAGAGTTCAGATTGACCCGGTTCGTCTCCGCATATCGGAAACTCTCTTGTTATCCAGTAACCCATCTTTTCCTCTACTCAACGATACCCAAGTAAGATGCACAGGTAGTACAGTTGAAAATCTGTAATCTTTATTAATTTTATAGGTATTCGTAGCTTTAGCAAATGATGCTTTAACAAGACTTTTCACGCAAAAAGTGAGGGGTTGTTTGGATATAAATTCTAAACCATGCCTCGAACACTGGAAAGTTGTTTAGAATACTTTCTGAAACCTTTTTTTATACAGAAAAAGTGCCTAACTTTATACTACAGTTGAAGAATTTTTCACGTAGGCCTATAATAGATTTTTTATCAGAGTACAAATAAGTAAAATTTATTTAATATCGATTTTTTAAGTAGTATTGGTTACTTTTTATTTTCTTATTGCTTTTATTACCTATTTTCAGTATTTATTTATCATTACGAGACCCCATAGTTTGGTCATACATTTAATTTCTCTTATGATGTTAATCCGGGCCTGGAGTTAGCATAGCCTTTCTTATTGTTTCTGCTAGGTACCAATTATCTAAGGAAGGGTGATTTGCCACGAGCTGTCAAACTTGCACAATAACATCTGCGAGGTGCCTAAGCATGTTACCGTAAACATGGGCGCACTTGAGCGATCACCAGCGTCGTCCTTGGCCGCCCGTTCCAGCGCCGCCTCGATGCCTCCAGTTCCGCTCCGTTTCGCCTCTCCCTCTCGCGGCCAGTGACGCCACTCCCCGCCTTCTCACTCTCCCTCCCCACCCGCTCAAACACCTGCTCCCGTGCCGCTTGCCCACATGACCTCCGGCGAGAGTGCACGCACGCCCTCTCAAGGCCGACAGTCCACTTGCTCGCCTTTCCATCAAACTGCCTGCGTACGTGCCCAACTCAGTCCAATTCGTTTTTTCTCTTACCCCTCCCCAAACCACCTTTTTTCTCCTGACCCAACCACTCTTCCAGTTGCCCACCCATTAACCTGTCACTCCACCGGTTACCAATGCTAAAACTTACCCACACATATAAACCAAACAACTTAAATCCTCCACTTAAATCCGCTTCTTATCCACTCACTTAAAGTCACTCACTTGAAGTACCTCACTTAAAGTCCCTCACTTAAAGTCCCTCACTTAAAGTCCCTCACTTAAAGTCCCTCACTTAAAGTCTCTCACTTAAAGTCCCTCACTTAAAGTCCCTCACTTAAAGTCTCTCACTTAAAGTCTTTCACTTAAAGTCTCTCACTTAAAGTCTCTCACCTAAAATCGCTTCCTTAAAGTCTCTCACTTAAACGCATCAACTTAAACCTACATCCCCCTCTCAAACCCACACACTAACGTGCACACCAACTCTCACACCAAACATTCAACTTACCAACCGAACGCTTACCCTCCTATCCGACGGTCGTACGTCCACCCCTCTACCCAAACTCCCAACCTACCCACGCGTG